TCGCTTTGTTTCAACCTGCCAGTTGATCATTGCATCCCTTCCGCTGTCGCATCCATAATATTCCTGTGTGAGGGTAGAAGCTCCCAAATCAAAGCAACAAAGCTCCCAAAACAGGATGCTGCCCGCAACGAGCGGTGCTTCGCAATAAGAACGAAAGAATGGGAAAATTCCAAACTGGGCACCGGGGTTCCATGCGCGCCCGCGCCCATTGGGGCGGACTGAACTGCCGGCATGGAGACCGGCAGGCCTCCATGATTAAGATCTAAGGATGACATGCCCGATTCCCAGAATGCTGGCGCGCTTGTTTGCAGGAATATGATATTACCTGAGGCCGCCAGGTCTTTATAGGAAGCCTCCCAGACATGCCTACGCTTCCCAGATTTCTGGTGAGGAAAATATGTAGGGCCCCTAAAATCCTCAGGAAAATTCTCGCAAGCTAAACACAAGACTTGTTGAAAAGCGCTCTGTTGGGATGGCACCGGATGCTTTATGCTTCTGTCTTGGGCATCTTCGGCTTCATATGAAGAGTGTGGCGTTGGCGCAGAATTCGCATGGCTCATAGGAGCAACTGTCAAGTGGGTCATGACAAGCTTATGTGGACTTCAGTCACTGTCCTATTTCAGCTGCGGCTAGCTAAAGGAAAGCAAGCTTTCAGTTCGAGATTTGCATTGAATAGCGCTGAGGCTGAATGAGAAAGACAGAGAGAGAGAGAGAGGTAGAGAGCGAGAGATTCAACTGCTGGCTCCAAGATTGAATGCCCTCCTTTCAACCACTTCAACAATGCATGCACTGTTGCCTCAATGACAACATAAGATGAAAGTCTCTTGCATGTCAACCGCAATAAAACCTTCCGGATAGGCGTTGTATCAACCTGTTTGCGTCCTAGATGTTCAAAGCAACACCTGGAAATGTACAGCACAACCTTGACCTTGTCATACATGATCTCTGCGAAATTTAACGGCCATTAGATCACTCCCAGCTTTGGCTGAGCCTACTGGAATAGCTGGCTGCGCAGCCATCCAGCCTGGCAAGGCCGATTCCTCTTGCGTCACTGCTGGAATTTTTGATTCCGCGGACTTCTCACCACGCTGGTGATTGATGCCCGCCTATGTGAGAGCATCTTCCCCACAAACTAATGCCCCATTCTTCATTCAAGGCATCAGTGGTTGCCAAGTCTCCATGTCACATCTCTGCGCAATGCCATGCACATGACATGTATGCTTAGCAGGTATGTCTCAAAAGTCCCGGCAGCATCGTAAAGGAAATCGGAATCAGGGGCGGATTCGTCGGCAACAATGTAAAATCTGTGAACTTCGAAGCTACCTGCCCCCAATGTTTTCCCGCATCGTCGCATTTCGTGCCCCCAACATGCCAGTCTTCCATGAAAGTGATCCCGATTATCCCCAATGACGGAGGTAATACCCTCCTATCGGGACACCTAAGCCCTAAATGTTCTCAAAAACGCTCGATCTGCTGCCTCCCGTGCAGGGGACCTGGCACAGCAAATGTTCGGGATATGGGTCTGGGAGGATTTGTTGTGGGTTGGATCAGAAACGGCTAAGTCTATTAATTCCAAAGCCTGAGGCAACCCCGTTCTGAGACAATGCTTGACATAATCATCGGCCCCTTCTTCTAGGCTCCCAGTACCAGGCTTGCATCATATTCCGGGGATATCTGGGAACACTTTTTTGGACGAACACACGTAGAGGTACATAGTGCGGTGAAACAGTAGCAGTAGCTTCATATAGCAAATCGCCATCATACAGTAGTGCAGCGGCAGTGGGAAAGAGCTTCTTCATCGAGCATTCACATCTCGCAAATGCGTGGTGATAATTTTCTTCATCAATCACCGTGTGGACAGACAGAAAATCCATGTCGTCAAGCTGTCACGAAAATACGCTGACCATAGAGAAGCTGCTTTGAGCAATGTCAAACTGCCTGTCAGTGCACGTCTCACACAGCTACTCTCATTAAGATCGATGTTTCTCAAGCTTCATATTCTATGTAAACTCTATTTTCATGAGCGCTATTCCAATGTCATAACATGTATCGCGGCCGTGAACAGCCGCTGCCCGTGCCACCGACGCCGCTGTTGCCGACACTGCAACCGCAATTGCTAACTACTACCACTGCTGCTACCCATATAACTGCCACCATCACTGAACTACAACTATTTCTGCTGCAGCCGCCGGCGCTGCTGACGACGGCGAGGGCACAACAACGACCACGACTAGTGCAGCAGCAACGCCGCCACCGCCGCTGCAGTAGTAGCAGCAGTAGCAGCAGCAGCAGCAGCAGCAGCACCACAGTCCTTGCTACTGGGTCTGTCCTTCGGCGCCACATACGGGTGCAAACACTGTCGCTCTTTGCTGGCGAAATAGGGCAGCACTTCAATTTACGATCAGCTGCCACTATCGGTTCGCAAGGAGTGATGGCAGCAACTCTTGCTGCATCTATCACTATTCAAAGCCACCCAAAAACCTTTGCATGAGCCCCATCTACTCTGGCATCATCTCAAGAAGCTCACCTAGCACGTTCCCTGGCTTCCTTGTCTACCGACAGCCATCACCAGCATCAGCCTGCTGCTGCGGTGCCGCGCCCTTGCCGCCGCCGACCCCGGGGGTGGGAGCGCCTCGCCTCAGAAGATTTCAGCCAAGAGAAAATCGGGGTTTCTCAAAATGGAGGTTTCCAGGGACCTTGAGAAGTACGGGGGTCCCATGAAGGCTTATGATCATTAAGCGATTCAAACGAAAACCACAATTAACTGAGGAACTCTAACATCATCCTGGGTCTCCATGGGCCTTGCTGGGGCTAATTACAGAGGCAGCTACTATATGGTGACAAGATTAAGTATCCGTTTTGCAGAGATCATCAGAACAAGGCTTCTACTTTCTTAGGGGCTCAGATCATAACTCATGACCAAAACGCTTTAAATACCTCGAAAACGGAAGCTGTGCCTTTACGACTCTGGCTCCAGGGACCGCCTGGATCATCGAGACCCTCAGCTGTGCTTCTTAAGGGGGCCCAATCAGCCCCCTCCGCCCGCCTCCCTTGGCATGGCCCTCCCCCTCTTTTCTCGGAGTGTTAGGACCCCGTGAAAACCGAGGAGGGATGCCTAGTTTTAAGGGCTCCTCTGACTAGGGCTGTCCGTCCTTGAGGTGGCGCTGGGCCAGGGCTTTGACAGTTCAATGTGTGGATGAAGGGTCTCGATGTTTTGCATGTCCTCGTTTCGTATTGTGCGTTTAGGAAAGCGGAGTATGACGGCAGAAGCCGAGGTGGGGAATCGACTAACGGCATGTTTGGAAATCTTCTAGGTTACTTGGCTTCCCACCCGTATCCCACGCAGACTCTGAGCCCTGATGCTCGTTCTCTTGTTCCTTGTATCACAGCGTATTCCATGACATGGATACTTCCGTCATCCAAAATCTGGTGTCCGATTTCTAGTCCATGTGGAGGAAGCAAGGGTTGTAATTGGTTTGTCGAGGAACCATAAGGAGATTGTCAGGCTTCCCAAGTCTATAGTGTTTTTGGGCTTCTTTGGAGAAACTCGCTTCTGAGCTCAGGCACTACGATGGCAACTCAGGAATTGGCGGCGCTGCAAGGTCCACCACAACTGCGCAACCGTCGATCTGTCCAAGATCGGGGCTTCTCTTGTCAAGAGGCCTTTAGAGATCCTTTGGATGCACGATGGGGGCCTGTAGTCTGTAGCAGGGATGCTGAAGAGTGTTTTTGCAAAGCTCTCACAGTGTGAACACTCAAACGCACACAAATGTACATTCTCCCTCGTCTGGCCGATGCTGGCTACAGCAATTTCAGACCGCTCAGCAGACTGCTTCAAAGACCAGACTGCGTCATTTCTTCTGTTGCGATTCCACTCCCAAGCAATCATGTTCACTCTCTTCCCTAAAGGTTTGGCTCTGTTCTGCCATGTAAGCAAGAGCATGTCTGCAGGACCTTCTTTAAGCCATTGCAAGGGCCCTGCCAGCACATGCATGGAAACAGCTTCTTGCCTCGTGATTCCCCGATGCGAGGGCTGTCTGCACCCTGAGCAGGATCTGCCCATGCAGAGATTGCTTTGTTATCAACACCTGAACCTACCTTGGCTTTCGAAGTCCCATTGAAGCCTCCGCCCTGCACTTACACCACACAGATCACCACAGGACGGGAGATGCTGAAGCCCCAGCGAGGCGGGATCCACGTAGGAGACGAAGCAGATGCCTGAACAGAAGACATTAGCCAGCCTGGGATGAGGTTCTTGAATGAGGGCAGGAGCCATTGAATCAGATCGTGTCTGCTGCAGCTGGGCCGGGGCTAGTAGCCATGTCTATACGGACAAGCTATACGTGTTTCTACTAAACACTTTTTTTTAGCTGGCGATCAGGGACTGCGTCAGCAACGTCTTGCCCCGTTGACTCAACTGCAACCTGAGCCTGATGGCTCAAACGCTATGCTTTGTGAGTTTATCGCCGCAACGCCGGAAACAAGCCAAGCGCAAGCAAACATGATGCCATTGCCTTTGTGGGTGCCGCTGCCAGGCACAGACTCAGTTGCGCAAAACTTGTCACACGAAGGCTGGTTTGCAGGCAACACACACGCGAGGCTCTCGAAGCTCCATACATACGTATCGACTCACGGGATATCTGGCGATTCCACAAAGGTTATCAGGCTCCAGTACATATGCTATTGATACCATATTGAGAAGCTCCCACCTGTGAGAGCCAACCTCTATGGCCGGGGGTCCAAATGAGATAGGCAGTGGCAAGATCCTGTTGAATTGTTCTTGGTATTCCTGCCGCGATGGTTACAAGCAATGAGAATGTTATGACCACAGAGCACTATGATCTGCTATGTTTGCAATTGACAACCGCGATGACTCCGACTAGACCGTGGATGCTGCACATGGGATTGATTGCTCTGCATTGCGAGCGCAGGATGTTGGGGTTTAAGAGTCGTATGCCTCCTGATCCGAAGTGCGCACATTGGATTCGTAAGCCACAAACCGGCATGTAGCAGTCGGTCAGCTCCCCGAACTGGGAGAAGTATTTCTCCAAATGATCCTCAGTGGCAATAGCATCAGACTACGTACATAAAGGTGGAGGCATCCGAGATGACAGGGTGTCGAAACAAACAGCAAGACCGGCATCAAAGCAGCGATGTTTTCCAGTGAGCTTTCCACTTCCACCATGCTGGGCTCACATCTGGTGATACCATATTCTACATCTAATTGGCTACTCAACTAACACAATCCTTGCCTTACAAGCAGCATGTTAGCAGTTAATCTAATATCGTCAAGAGCTGTTGCCTCGACTTGCAGGCAGTGCTGACATGCTCTTTTCTGCTATCGAGTCACTCGGTTCAGCGTTGGCGGCACTTTGGTGACAAAGAGACGGTCACCATTGTTGGCTTGCTGGGCCTGCAATGAGCAATGGCTGCAAGGCTTGATGCACGCATCTTCACTTGGCTGAAGATCATCTGTGTGCTTTGAACTTTCCTCACACGTTGTCCATGTGCCCTGCATAGACAATTGCCCCAGGACCTCATTCAGAATCAGCTATACAGGCTGTACAGACTTCACCAGACAAAGAATACCAAGTCATCGCAAGAGCTTTCTGAGTTGCGCATTCCCTGCCTGGCTATGGCTGGGAGGGCTGGGTTGATGCAAGTGTGCCTGCAGACGCTCGAGGAGGCTACAGCCAGTGCTCAGTTCCAATCACAGAAAGCATCCCTCTTTGCAGCTAATTAGAGAACATGACAAGCAATGCCCTCAGAACTTCACGCAGCTGCTCAGCACTGCTCTGCATGCTTGCCTCACCCTTTGCCTCCCCTTTCGCTGCGCGGGGAGCAGCACGATCTACAACTACCTTGTGAAAGCAGGAACTCTCATTGCTTGCATATCAATAGCCACACGGTGTGTGAGGAAGTCAGAATACCGCACCTCATTGCCGTTGATGATGTGCGGCTCATTCCCCATGGCCAACTGGCAGCAGGCTTTCTTAAATTTCAACAAAGTGCATCGTGTCAGCCTTTGGATGACATGTACTGACATCAGCCAGCCTGAACCGCGGTCGGATCTTGGAAGGAGACAAAGGCAATGCCCTTACAGGGCGGGGTGGATCGAATGAATCCCAAACCCTCAGCAACACGCGACTCGTCCAGCCCGACTGCATGCACCTCTGAACATCTACGTGTGCAAGCAGTTGCTTGCCTTGTGCCCTGGCCGGCCCGGCACAGCGGGCAGGTAGACCTCTGGCAACACAACGGAGAAGGTCACTCAGAAGCTCCAGCCGCGCTCACAAGCCACCTCTTCATTGAAACACAGCAAGCTCTGAGGCGCTTGCACTTAGTGGACAAGAATTTTCAAGTAGGTGGTTCTGGATCTGCACGGTAACGCAGCATTTTCAACGCCCAAGTGCTGCCGGAAAGCATCGGTGGTGACGCCAAACTGCGCAAAGTGCTGAGCGACATCCTGCTGCAATGCTACAATCCAATTTCGATTGCACTGTTGCAAATAGGGGCTCCATAGCAACAGACTGTCCAAATCTGGGATGCTTCGTCACAAGAATCAAAGGTCTCAGACATCCAGCCATGGTCCTAGTCCAGTGCAGGGAACATGGTTTGAACAAATCATGTCACTTGATGCTGTAGGCATGGCCCGAGAAGACATTCACAGAGTTGCAAGATACGGAAGTTTACGAAATCGGGATCCTCTGCTGGTTCCCCCTCTTCCCCCGACTCCTAGCTAGCAGAAGTCGGATCTATTGCATCCGGCTGCCTTGAGTGTTGCTGACCACATCGCTCTTAGTTGAACAGACAACACACCGCTTACAAGCTGACCTGCTAACACATTTCCGTCTACTGCATAGTCACCCAGACAAGCTTCCTTCTTTCTCAATGTCTGTTCCGTCTCTCGGAAAAAGCTTTGGTATTGCTTCGCTCTCTTTTCCTCCTTCTCCTCCTGTCCCCAACATCCTTCTTCCCTCCTTCCCTCGGTCAGCCCCTCAAGGAACCTCCTTTGTGATGAACGGCGCTATCTTGGTGACGAAAAGCCTCGCACAGGTGCAAGTAGCTGCATCGTGCAGTGCATTGCAGCACAGAAAATGCAGGTAGGAGGCATGCATGAAAGCTATGGTCCAGATTGCAAGACCACTTCAACTTCTGGAAAGCCAGAATGCTGCTAGTCAAGCTGGACCTTGCTTGCTTGTTTTTAAGTGGTGAATCTCCAGCTGACTCCGTGAGCGACGTTGACTGAGCAAAGCTCGTTTTTCCTGCATGAGTGCTGGGCATGTGGGTTGCACAAGACTTCAGCCAGTGAATCACCGGGTGGCCTGTTATCACCGTCACCCTGCGCCTGGGCTGTCAGGCATTCAGCACAGATCAAACGGCAGGTCGAGCATTTCTAGATAACACTATCCCATAGTGGCTAATGGCACATGGTGCATGGATGCTGAAGCTACGCTCTGAAACGCTTGGACTTCTACCTGAAACATGGCCGACAGCGACGTCCAAGCTATGCTCTTGCGCAAGGTGCCAAACCAGCACTAATGTGTGAGTGTTGAGGATTTTGGAGTTATGATGGTTCATGCTGGTGCTGCCTGTCTGAGAGATTGACTTTGAGAGGGCTGGTGGTGCCCACTGGCTACAATCTTGCCACTTTATGAATTTCAGCTTCGTGCTACTGCTCCGACCAGGGTTGCAAGTAAGGGCCATACTTGCTTTGCTTGGGTTGCCGCTGTTGCGTAAAGGCTTGCGGAGTTGTCATCCTGAACTTCATGCTCTACTCGGAGCCATCAGTCTTGGGCAAAGTGCGTGCATCACATCCAATGGCAATGGACTCGACATCTTTCAGGGCCCCTCATGGATTCTGCTTTCAGCCTTTGAGTGGCGTGCCGCCAAATGCATCTAGCAGCGATTCTGATGCGTCACCCTTGCGTTGCTTGCACAGAGGCTTCAAGGTCTCGCTGGCCGGTCAAGCCCATGAATTCAACGAGGGGAGTGCCCGTGTGTGATGGGGATTGGCGACTGTCTTCTGAATTTACGCAGGGAGCTCTTAAGCAGCACTGGAGGACACTCTCCTGTATGCCATGTTAGGCCATGCATATCGCCGGGCGGCTCCTGTTCCTGGGACCCCATGAAACCTTTTGGAGGTTTGTTGCAAAGACCCATTAAGCTAGACTTTACGGATTCTCTGAACAAATAATGTACAGCCTGAATCTATGAGCATCTAAGAGGGGTCTGACCGTGTCCGAATTCGAACGTGCGGGGTACCTTTGGCACCAACCACATGCTCCCAATGGCTGACGCGACTGGAGCGTCATGATTCTGATGTCGATAGTTAGAACATGTGAGGTCAAAAGCACCCTCCTTCCATCAAGATGCTTCGTATATCAAAAAGCGTCAGGGATCTACAATACGCCAAGCAATTGTAGACTTATGTTTTAGTTTGCGTGTTAGGCAAGTGAGACATGGGCAAGGGGCGGGAAGCGCTTCTTGTGGCCCTTGCTGCAGGGACAGGACATGACAGGAAGCATGGATGAAGACCTTGCTTCTAATTTGTGGAGGCCCTGTCCCTGACCCTACCTACTACACTAACTGTTAACTGGCAAAGTGGCGCTGCGCTTGCTTTGCAGAACGTGCGCCAATTAGCGGCATAATCGAGTCTGCACGACTGGATCTTAACTCCTTATGGCTCTTAATTACTGCACTACACATCCAGAATTTCTTGTCCTCTGCCCAATGCTTGCATATGGTACCGACTGCGAGTGGCAATGAGAGGAGGCGACAACTCCAGCTTTGCTGGAGCCTGCATTAATTTCTGAACCTCAGATGCCCTCAAACGCTACTTCTCTGCGATCACATCTATCACTGGATCATCGTCGAAGCCTTCTTCCTCACTGTCTTCCCAGTCCTGCAAAGACAGATCACTACCCAAGCCTCACAAGTATCATTGACTTCACTTCCGCCCTGCAGAACAGCAGCCCCTTTGCTCAACCCTCCCACGGAACCCGCGTTATAAATGGTGCACAATGACGATGGGCGGTCCGCGTATACGTCCGTCACGTATCTGCGTCGTAGCCAACAGCAGACCACGCAGCAACAACAGCCTTATGCAAGTCAGCTATATTCAGACTATTCAGCTACATTCAGCCTTGCAGAATGTGAATGTGACACAGTCTGCAACGCCGTGGCATTCTTCAATCTTAGACGCTCGCATTCAGCGCTTTTTCCAGTACAATGTTTAGTTTTAGCGAGTGATCTCAACTCCACCGCCAGCTTAGGAAGCAGCAGCTGCTGCCCACAACGATGCCAATGAACGCCTGTCAGCGAATGGCAGGCCGCAGCCAAGTTCTACACAATTCGTTTGCACCTCCTTGCTGAGTTCATAGAACACGGGATAATGCACAGGAAGGTTTCGCTGGCTTTGTCCCCCTTTGCACTACAACACTTTGGCTGCTCGGAGACGCATAGAGAATCCACTTAGTGCCAGCCCGCTACAAAACCTTAGCACAATCGCGACCAGCTGTGGCTTTCTCAGACACCAGCTGGCGAGCCAATGAAGTCGTCCTCATCGTCGCCGCCTGCATTAGCTGCGCATGAGAAAGAAGGCAGCTGCAAGTGAGCAGCAGGAGGCCAAGAGGGCGGTGTTAGAGAATTCAAGCAGAGGTGATCATCAGCTTTGCAAGGGCACCTCATCTGGCCTCATTAGCTGTCAGGCAGGACCCAAACCTATTGTTCATGAAGCCCAGTGTCGCCCTAGATTGGGGACAGACAGGTGCTAGTGAATTGACGAGTGTAGGAAAACTTCAGCGAGCTAGTATTAGTAAGCCTTTTCGTATCGCGTCATGGTCCTCAGCATCTTTTGAAATTAAAGGCGTCATTTGCGTTTAGATTTCGGGACGCTAGCACGACTGGAATGCTAGCTGCGCGCTAGAGTTGTTCATGCAACTTTGTGGAACGCCCTGCAGATAGTAGCCATTCATTGTGCAAACATGGGCACGGATTCTGAAAGTTGTATTTGGCAGATGCAATTTTCAAGATGTTAGTGACAGGCGCCACTTGGAAACCCCCTTCCAGACCAGGGTTCTTCAACAATACAAGTCTGTGCTCGTGGGCTTTCCTGAGGTTTGATCGCATTTCATACCTGCAGCTACTGTTTGAAGTCCTTCATTACTCTTGTTGACAAGGCCGAGCCCCGTGGAACACAGGATTATGGGCCATCTTCGGGCAAATCATCTTAGACAGCAGCCCAGGTGACTGATGTCTTTCCTTTGACCATAAGGCTCAGGCCTGTCTCATTGCCCGTATCGTTGCCAGTATCGTTGCTGCCTTGGCCATCGTGGCAACATGAAAGGTGGTTGTGGGCTCGTTCATTGCGCTTGTCTTTGCAAGTTCATAATGCAGGCCACAAAGTCCCTCAGCTTGGGCAAAACCCAGGAGGGGTTCTCAAATCATGGGGCTGCAAATGGTGACAGCCACTTGAAGGAAAACAATGCCAGAATTGCCAGAAGAGTTGGAGCAGCAGCAAGCTGGTGATGCTCCAAGTTCATGACATTGTTGAGCATCTGTTGGAATCCCGACGTCTATCGCTCAGAAGTATGTCAACCGAACCATTATCGTGGACATTACCTACTTTGCATGGTGCCAGCGTAACCACAAGAGATCACAAGAGTATACGTACAGCAATTGCCCCAAGAACAGCTACACGATTCTTCTACAGCTACTCTCCTCCCTGCGTGGCTGTGAACTCCTTGGGCTGGCACTGTTGTCCCGGACCTTAGACAAACACGGCAATCGAAGCACCCTGCAATTTTGCTGGCTCATGCACTCCCTTGCATTCCCCTATTAACGGCCTTGGCCGGCACTGGGGGCATCCAATCTTGGCACTCTTGCCTTCTGTTAAGGCTCCAAAATCAGTCGCCATAAAAGGGGGCAACCTGGCTTGGTTTTTCCGGCAGTTCGAAGCTAGAAGGACTCCTAGGACATCTGGAGGGCTCAAGCTTCCAAGAAGATTGCGTCAAATGCGTCAAACAAAGCTTTTAGGGCAGGTCCCCTAAGTCATGGCAACAACGAGGAGATTGGAAAAGATTGCAGTGCCTCAACTGAAGTGTGTCTGGGGTTGAGATGTGCTCGCAGTGCTGCAGCCTCTGCAGAAGTCAGTTCGCGTTCCACACCATACCACTGGCCCTCGAATGTATTTCGCGCTGAAGCCGATTCCTAGCGTGCGCTGGCAGCGCCACGGTCCTGCTCACGGCTGACCTGACGACGAGTTAGCGGCGTGTGCGGCCGGATTCTGACATGCCTTCTCGCCGTCGGACCTGCAAGCACCGTTGCTTCTCCTTACATACTCCCATCAGGAATGTAGAGGGTGGCTCATATGCTGCCTGCCTTTTTTTGGCCTTTGGAGTAGAGCTTTTTCAAACAAGCCTTGTTTCTGTGCTCCTGCATTTCGGTACGACTTTCTGCTGTTTCCAACTCCAACCGCTGCTCTAAAGCAATGAAGTCCACCGCTTGCTCGCTGGACCCTTGTAGATGCGTCGAGGACCCCCCTTAGATCCCTTTAGTGAATCAGAACTATCCAGCCAGGCTCATGCAATTCTCCCAGCAACCATCAAAGGAAGATGCCAAAAGCACGACAAACGTATCTGGACATTCTTGCAAACACCTACCCACAGCAGCAAAGAACATTGCAAGGAGTTTGCCACTTTTCCAGGGGCGTGGCCACGGAGACTTGCGTCCCATCTGGCCTGATGATATGCAGATTAACCACAACACGTTGATCAGTGAAACTTTTTTTTCCGAAATACGCATCAGGAATTGTCTAGTTTTGTGACATCAAGGTGCTGCAGCTGGTCCGCCCCAGCCCGCAATGTAGGGTCCAGACTTGTCAATGATGTACAAGATGTCGCGGATCATGCGCGTCTTCGTAAGATCTGGCACGCCAAAAGGCACAGTAGAAGGGAAGGGAGGGTTTGTGGTGCTGTGCCTGGCAGCCACATCTGCCACGCTATCTCTGATTACCATGACTCGTTGCGGTGATCGTCACTGTTGCTGTTCTTGTTGCTATGGTCTTCAGGGTGGCTAAAGCTGACCCTTCATTGGCTTCCTGTCGCCGTGCAGACTTTTTTCTCAGCGCCTGCGACTTCGACGCCCGAAGAGGACAGCAAGGCCAGTGAAAACACACGGTCGAACACAGCACCTCAGCAAGCGCAGTAATCTTAAAACATCTTGCAGGTAAACCGAGGTGTTCTACTGTGAACTGTTGTCATAGGAGTTGCAAAGTGTCAAAGCCCCGATTTTCTAAGCTATGCCAGCAGTCTGGCAGTCACTGCTGAAACGACTGAGCCCTCGTAAAGATCTTAGCGGAAGTACGAGATCCTGAAACCCCTGGCATTTTCAGCAGCCGTGTTAGCGAGCAACTGGCTCCCTGGTCAGGAACTACCCTTGCTGTGAATGTGACCCTGATTAACGGTCCTTTACATACGCTCACCCCCAAAAGTAAGATCATAATGTTGGGTCCTGATTAGTGTAGGGCCCC